GAAGAATTACTGACATGCAGCATGACTTTTTAAAGGACGTTCGACCTCGACAAACTTACATGAATTAATAGACTATTCATTAAATGCAATGGATAATGGAATCCACGTAGAAGCCCTCTATACAGACTTTAGCAAGGCATTTGACCGAATTGACATACCAATGCTACTCTTCAAATTGAAAAAAAAAAAAATAAATTGGAATTGAGGCATGACTCCTGAAATGGCTTGAATCATATTTTACAAACCGCCAACAAGGGGGGGGGGGGGACACCCCTCACCATCCCTCTCCAAAGGGGGAGTTTGGTAAAGAGAGATGAAAAAACCGATTTGTACATTCCTTAAAAGTTGTCCTAGCTCGCTTGTCTAATATCTATATACAATCTTCACACTGCCGTACTCTAACGGAACTATCAACTCTATGCTTTCATCTACTCCATCTATCGTATAAAAATTACCACTACAGTCTGTTATTTGAAATTAGCATCTTCAACACTATATATTGCCTATGTGAGGTCAGTGCTGGAATATTGCAGCATTGTATGGTCTCCATTTTCAACCACGCACGAAGGAAGATTGCAATCAGTACAAAATAATTTTCTATTATATGCCCTTCGTTGGACATCATTTCCTCTTCCATCATATGAAGCACGCTGCATGCTAATAAACAGACAAATATTCAAAGAGTGACGTGAATATGCAATGGTTGCGTTTGTAAAAGATATCGTTTTGCAGCGCATTAACTCAGTAGAACTTTTATTAAAATTAAATTTTTATGCACCTACTCGACAACTCAGAAAACGAAATTTATTTGCTATAACCCATCATCGCACAAATTATGCAAAATTTGGGCCATTAAATCGCGTGTTACAATCAATACTGCGAAAACAATGACTTTTCATTGTCTCGGCCAGAGGTGGCAACAGTACATTTTTTGCAAAACCATCGTCCAGAGCAAAACAAAACAGCCAGCACACGGGCGGTCGTGTATTTCTACATTACAAGAAAACGACGGAGATAGAGAATAGGAAAAATGTCGTAGCCCATTATTTTTCAAACAGTTTATTGAAATTACAGTTTAGCTGCAAGCTTGCGTGTGACAGTAAATTATTAACTCCCTTATTTACGCATAATTTTAACATCAAAGCTTCTAAGTGGTTAGTATTCGTTGTTATGTTATAATTCCATGCAATAAATATCAGATAAATGCTATAATCAGCCAGAAATCAGCAAAATTCTACATGACATAAATTTATGTATGTCGCACGCGCCGCTGGTCTTGTCTGCTTCATTGTGCGCAAATGTTCTGTATCCTGCAGTAAACAGTTTAGAAATGTCATGAAATTTTTTCCGCTTGCCAGTTTGTGTTTGTGCGTCTTCTCTATGGTAATTGCGCAAAGTATCAAATGTTAAGGAAACAACGTTGAACTCCAGTACTCGTGCTACCACTGGTCTCGGCATAAACTAAAACAATATTTTAACTCCATACGGACTCATAACTCGTAAGGAGTAAAAATAGAACAGCAGATTTTTATTTTAATATTCTTAAGAATTCTACCGGAAACTGACTATTCCCAAAAGGTGGAAAACTATCTGCTTAGTAACATCGCGGAAGACATCAGGAAGCTGTCTCTTCAAATTCCCGTACAATCAGTGTTTGGTCCTAATTAGCTCAAATCCCATTTGGTACGTGTATTCGTTAATGCCGTATCAACCGTACTAAATGAATCCAGTGCCATCAGTACTATAGGAATCCGGCAAGAACGAATCCGCACTATAGGAATCTTGACTGTAAGTCGTTCTTACATGCGATATTGACCTAAACTGTAGCAATTTTCTGGTTGTCTTTGTTGGCGGATAAATTTTACTACTTCTACTCTACTACTTTTACTACTTACAACAGTGATGAGTGAATACTTTAATACAGATTTACCTACCTTTTATGTTTTGATGATCTTGAGCAATGCAGTAGACATCGAGGAATTATCCAGCTGTTATGTACTATATAATAAGTTGGTACTCTTATGAAAGATCACAAATCGTCTCTATAACTCTGTCCTAGGGTATCATTGACTAAGTCGAAACGAAACATGTTTTGTATGAAAGTAACACACTTCAAATTCACGTCAACAAAATATAGTAAATGCAAAAATGACAAAGGCTTAGAATGCCACCATGGCATCCGAGCGAACTTCGTCGACTGAAATCCAGAAAGAGTCACACTATCCCACCAACGTCACTATGCCAGGATCAATAACGAATACAAACGAGTTGCAAAACGGTGCTTTCTTCAGTATTGACGTGGATTGCAGAGAAAGCTTAAGTCACATCCCAAGCAGTTTTGGAAGTTTGTCAACGAACAACGCCATGAAGCTGGTCTGCCGTCGTCTATGATACATAATGGTAACACGGCCTCATCTACGCAAGATATCTGTCAGCTGCTCTCTGAAAAATTTGCTAGTGTCTTCACGGACGAGAGACTGAGTGACGATCATGCCCGACTGGCTACCAGCTACGTACGGATTCCTCGAAACTCAAGTCGTCGTACAATCCGGGTCCTGACGGAATTCCATCGGTGTTCCTCAAAACGCACTTGGACAGTTTGTTGTCTCCACTGCTGCACGTTTTTCAATGGTCCGTGGACGTCGGCGTTTTCCCATCCTGTTGGAAGCTAGCGCACATGTTTCCAGTACACAAGAAAGGCAGCAAACAGGACGTTGGCAACTACCGTGGCATTACTTCGCTTAGCGCTGTTGCTAAATTGTTCGAACTCGTTGTTATGGAACCGTTACTCGCTCGCTGTAAGCCGTATATTAGTATCGACCAGCATGGTTTCATGGCTTGTCGCTCCATTGCCACTAACTTGCTGTACCTTACTTCCTACATCTATAACAGTATGTAGGATCGTGCTCAGACGGATGCCATTTATACTGACTTATCTGCAGCCTTCAATAACGCATTTCTATCGGAAAACTGGACAGGCTTGGTATCCACGACTGCCTTTTGCTATGGTTTCAGTCGTATCTCACCGATCGCTATCTTCTGTTGTCATTGGTGATCACCAGTCCCGTATGTTCGCTGTCACGTCCGGCATAACCCAGGGTAGTCGCCTGGGACCGCTGATTTTCCTGATTTACTTCAACGACGTGAATCTAGCAATTGAGGGACCACGATTAACGTACGCAGATGACCTTAAACTCTTCCTTCGAATACTCAATTGAAGACTGTTGCTTTCTTCAGCTTCAGTTGAATGCTTTCGGTGATTGGTGTATTCTGAATCATATGGAGGTTAACCCGTCCAAATGCTCGGTTATCTCTTTTTCGCGCAAGAAATAGACTATTATATTCAAGTATGTTATGTTATGCACTGAAATTGAGCGCGTCAGCTAAATTAAGGACCTAGGTGTGATTCTGGATACACAACTCTCTTTCAAGCAGCATATTTCGTATGCCATCGACAAAACTTCCAGAATTCTAGGGTTTATCTTCAGGATTGCCAAAGACTTCACGGATATCTACTGTCTTAAATCATTGTACTGCTCCTTGTCTCACTTCATATTAGAATACTGCTCGGTTGTCTGGACTTCTCACTAGAACAACGGTGTCGAAAGAGTTGAGTCTGTTTAGCGACGGTTCTTGAGATATGCGCTACGTAAACTGCCGTGGACGGATCGCTTTCGATTGCCTAGCTACAAAGTCGTTTGCAACTGATCCACCTGGAGCCCCTGTCAGTCCGAAGAGATACAGCAAGGGCATTGCTGAATGCTGACATTTGCAAGGACGCACCGATTGCCCTATTCTCCTTGAGCAAATGGACATCAATGTTCAACCCAGAGCCCTACGGAATAATTCAATGCTGCGCCTGCCCATACAGCCAACTAATTAGAGCATGTTCAGCGCAATCGGTGGTTTACAGAGACTCTTCAATACGGCTTCTGCACTATTTGACTTTGATCTGACTCGCCAGCTGCTTCACCGGAGGCTTAGTTATTTTTTTCTAGATCAGTTTAGTTTGTCTAGCAATGTTCCTACGAGATGACTATTGACTTATTGATGTTTAGTTTTAGTACTTTTCATGTTTAGCTTAGGTTACATCATTGGGGCCAATGATGTTTATAGTCCCACATAAATTAATGCTTTCAATTTACAAGTATTGAAGTGCTGAAAGAACACTCAGTTGAGAAAGAAAGGAGAAGGAGAAGATCCATCAATATGGTCTATTTTATAATTTCCCTTAAATATTTGACGTTTGAAAAACACCCTTGAGAATTTTACAACCAATTAGAAAGGTGTTCAAACCCCTCCTCCATGGAAAAAGGCATACATTGAAAAGCGTTCATCCAAACAGGTGATTGTGCATCAAATATTCATTAAAGGGTTTTAAATGCTGGGAAGTTTATCACCTGGAGATTCACCACATAAGTCCACCCTACATAACAGGGTCCAGGTTCTAGAACATAAGCTCGTCCTTTTGTCTGTATCACGTGAAATGACTTATCAAATATTTAAGATAACACTGTCCTCACTCACTAGAGAATACAACAATCGTTTGTCCAGCTGAACATTGTAACTGGTGTGGTCCGTGCCAGTCCAGCTCGGGCCGTTTTTCCGAGTGATGATTGTGGTAGGTAGTTACACATGTAGAATTCTACACCTTCTCAGTGAGTGGAACGACCGGAACTCATGGCTCGTCGTCCTGGATGTTGGCACGTGGGGGCTGAAATCCTAATTACCCCTAATAGAGTGGAAGTGAAAAATAACTTTGAAAATGAGCTAATTGGTGCCACTGAGGGTGTCATAAAAAGCAATTACATTAATTTTTCTGGCAGTGGTAAATAGCGACGGCATAACGTGTGGTATTTCCATGCGGCGGAAGTGAAACCGATCCGCAAAAATGTACATTTATGAGCTGGAATGTTTAAAGTTCCATTGCAATAAATTCCAGTTCGGAATAAAGGAGGTTTCATGGTTTAACATGGTTCATATTTCGTTTCATCTTTCAGGGTGGTTGCAGTACACCGAGAAGTCATCGAGGTGTCTCAAATGCTATGCAGCGAAGGCTAAGATAAATAAACTGTGATAATCTAGGGAAAACGTGCTAAGGATTAAAGAAGGGTAGTAGCGATCAAAGCTGAAAAATTGTGCTGCCCGCCAGCAAAGGTTAACAGTGAAGTGAAGAGGAAAATAGAAAAGCAGTCAGTCAGTGCTTTGTCTGTAATCGCAAATCAGTGTTCAGTGAAGTTTTGTGCTCCGATGCCGGAAAGGGGTCAAGACCAACGGGACGAACAAAGGTCGCTATGGTAGATGAACAATTGTAAACAGTGTACAAAGGCAACAAGAATATATGTACTAGAATTGAAGTGAAGCTGCTCACCCGGGTCGTTCGTTACATGGAACGGTAATATGGATTTAATTTCGCTTCCACCGTGCTCCCGACGATTGGACACTGCCAAGATGGTGAGCGGAGGAGCAGCAGAGCACCATCATCAGCTTACCATCACGACCGGGAATGGTGCAACTAGTGGCCTTTCGCCCACTTCCACGACGATAAAGATCTCGACCACGTATTTGAAGGTGAGTACTGCTACCGTGCTTTACAGGTGGGTGGTATTTTTAAAGCTTCGTCAGTGTGCTGTGGCAGATTTATTCGGTACTTGGTGGGGTTTTTTTGTTCGTGAGTGGTGGTTTTTATAATGAAGTTAATAGCATTTTGATTGTTGAGAGAATTATGCTTGATTCTAGCTAATCGTGGGTAATGTTGTTGAATGGGTGCAATGTTTGTTGTGATAAAATATGAAATCTTGTGTGTTGTTTTTGGAAAAGGAGAGTACATGAATTCCCGTATGGCGTAATGAATGGTTCAGTTACCACTTTTTCTCGGCTGTCCTCCAACCAATTTAGTTGCCAATCTCAAGTGATTTCTTTATTTTTCATTAACTTGTTTTCTGTCGATCTGTTTTTTTCTGCACTGAGTACCAAAGCTACCGACGCCTGAGCGTGAAGCGTTAGCAGAGATTTTATGCCTCAGAAAATCCCGACGGCACTGACTGAAATTGAACCCAGGCCCTTTGGAGTGAGAGGCAGTCACGCTTACCACTACAGCACCGGCACCGCTTAAGGAAGTGATTTCTTAGAGAAAACAATTTTTGAAATTATTATTTACTAGCGGCGCCGGTTATGTAGTGTTAAGCGTGATTACATTTCACCCCAGTAGGCCTGGGTTCAATCCCAGTCGGCACCGCCGGGATGTTCTGATACATAACATTGCTGATCACGTAAAGCCGTTGGTCCCCGGTTCATGAGTTGATGAATCGGTAGGTAGGGTCCAGGTGTGGGAGTTGCCTCCCTGGCGTCGGTAGCATTGATACTCAGCACGGAAAACAACACCGACGGAAAGCAAATCAAGGAAAAAATATATTATTAACTAACTAGGTCACTTTCACCTTAATGTTTAGGTAATCCATGAATACCGAAAATCTATTATATCGACGATGCACTATTTTTAACTATTTAATGTTATTTACTACTGAATGAGCTAATCAAAGGAACAGATAATTACCGTCCCCAAAGCCCATTCAGTTCAGTGTGTAGTGAACTTTTAACTGTGGTTTCTCCGAAAAACTGAGCGAAGGCAATCGATCGAATGTTTCTGTTTGCTCTTTTTTGCCTTGTCATTTGCCGGGTGATACAAATATGTGGATAGGGTTAACGAACTCAATGCTACGGTGTTGTCACAATCCTCCTGATTAGTCACAATTTGATGTTATGGAACAATTTGAACAATTATTCCTAGTCAATAGGCAATTCGCAGCCCACTAGTAGGTTAACAGAAACACAAAAAGTCTTTCAAAGAAACATGCAAATTATGGTTGTTTAGGCAAGTTCAAGCGAGTTGCTGTAGAATTCAATTTTTGGTGACCTAGCATAAGAACTAACTTTCCGAAAATCAAAATTCATTTCAACTCAATTTCGTGGTAACTATTGCTATATGATAAACCATTTATCCCGTGGAGTACGCTCGCAGTGACGGCGCTACAAAATTTAGGCAACTTTGCCTTATACCCGGCTTAAATGTGTGTCATCACAATCAACACGGGGCTGGGCTGATGAAGAACCAGCACTGAACTACATTTCTTGCTTTAAATGGCGGAATCCAATCGGGGCCAAGGATGGTGCCGTCTTTGACGTCTCCATCGAGTCAGGGCTGATATTTTCAATAAGTCTATAGGAGCAAGGATTCCACACTAACTCATGTGTGTCACTTCCCCTTCGGTGGGCATAAAGTTTGATGAAAGACGTGGTGCCATGCCCTTTCAACAGCACGCTACCGCTGACGCTTGATTGGGAAATTTATTATACCCATTGTCTGACATGTGTATGTATGCGTATGATTAATATGACTTCATTTTCTTAAACAGACGCCCGTCAAGACAGACCAAGAGATCCTGGAAAACTCCATGCTAGAAGATGACCCTAACTCGAACACAATTCTCACCAGTAGTAGCAAAAGTTGTGGAGCCATCGATGCCAGTGGGAAATGTGTCGACGGAGGAGACAGCCTAACGAAGCGACCGCGATGGGGACCACAGCACAAAGGGGCCCAGGAACTAGCTAAACTGTATAGTAGTGGTAAGTGAAATCGTTGTGGCATGATGGAGTGCATAGAAGCGAGTGTTTTCATGTTGTTATCGCTCGGGATGTGGTTTTCAGCAAATGCGTTCGAAAACGGTCGAGTTGTAATATGGTTGGCCATAGCTGAAACGGGATGCCAGTGACGTACACAGAAAATTAGCTTCCATGTGGGGACGGTTTCAATGCACGTTGTAGCAGGTTTTTGTGGCGGACAAAGAACGGTTGTACTTGCACATTCCACGCTTTAGGAGAATCGCTGCTGTTGTTCTGTAATTGTTGCGATTACCGAAACGGTTCCAATGAAACGACCCGGGTGCCACCACTTGTAAGTGGTGTGCCGCAATGGTAGCGCCAGGTTGAGAACATACACATTGGGGTTGTTTGTTTGTTGTACGCAATGGTTTCCAGTTGGTTCATGCGGATGGTCAGTAGTCAGCGTAGCCAATCTGATTATGATGCAATTTGGGTGATGACGGTTCTACAGCATCGCTGTTGTGTTGAACGACTAGCTGTAATAGTGCAGTGCAAAGCAGTATGTTTTGGCTGTAATGAAATTTAATTTACTGAATCTCCGCAGAGGTTTGTACCTAGTTTGCCGCGAAACTACATATAAGAGAGGATCTGTGTGCACAATTCTACGTAATGAGTGTAACAGAATGTTCATGGGTTCGATTAAATTTAATAAAGCTAAAATGGAATTTCGGAAATTTATCAATATGAGCCCAGGATTTTTTTTCAACCTTGATTATTCATCAAACCGATTTTTTGCCAAAGTCTTCTTGATGTGCCTGCCTCTTAGTTGAGACATATTGCGAAGAATTTTCGTATTGAACTTAGCTGAACTTTTGAGGTACAGACAAAGGGTTAAAGGACAACAATTCATTCACGCTCCATCACCGGTCGTAAGCTAACATGTCCATCGATTTACCTTTTCCGTGTTTAACTTTGCGAATCAGCTCGTAATGAAAGCAAAACCTAGAAAACGGGCACGAAATGTCACAGGTTCGAAATAAATTTCCTTTCATTCACCTTTTGAACTTGCGCTTGGCCAAACAGTATTAATAGATTTCGATTCCCCTAACATCCTCCCTCCGATAAACCCCACTTTTCGCAGCCATCGAGCAGCGAGCAACAGAAACACTATGCTTTGGCTTCCACTTTCTTTTGGCACGGAAATTCGCACACACGACCTATGCAACAATGTTGGCTCAGACAGGCGAGGCGGCCGCCTAGTTTATGCGAGAAATTGTACCTCTTTTTAGGTATAGACTCCGGTTGCTGGCCCTAGTCGCAATGAATAAATGAGCCATAAATACCAAATCTCGGTCGTGGCGTCGACGTCGTCGTCGTCATCGTCGTCATCGACGACGTCTATGTTGCAGTAGTTGAAGTTTTGGCATCCTGTGTGAAGCTTTTTCATTTGCTTTATGACCAGCTGTAGGGATTTTACCTTTCAAAACACGAACCAATAACAAGAATTATTTTTAGACCTTCATTGACAGGCCAAGGAAAAATAAAAGCGAAAATATCATCGGGATTTATTTGGGTATTGAGTTTAAGGCGATCATTTGTCGTATAGGGAAATAGGAATCTTGTTTATTCAGAAGCTTCTGTAAGATTTATGTCCTTTTGTCAGTATTATCAAGCCAGAGGAGGTGAATTCATCCAACCGGGAAATGTATGATTATTTTTCAGGCTTGCATATAAAGTATGCAGAAATTGAAAAGTTTCACCGCATGATCAAATTCTATCATGTGGTCGTAGGAAGGTTTAAGAAATATATTTTTGTAAATTTTATGCACTGCGGCTAGAAAATCATCTAGTGAAAGTTTTACCCGTTCTGGAAAAAAAACTTGCTTGTACACTACAATACATTGTAAAAAATTCCATTACATTTGTTGTTGGAAAAAATGAAATCCACACTTACATCAGATATGCAATCAAGCGGGATAAAATTGATAACTCCTCGGGGTGACTGCGTAATTATTTTATTCTTGGGCAAAGTTGCTCAGCTATACAAGGCCCACTTTGTGAGTGAAAAAATCCAGTTCAATGTATTCATGTTTAAGCTGTTCTGTTTTATATCTTTTGAACAAAGCACCTTGACCTTGAGATTACGTTGAATACAGTTGCCGAAGACGTTTCGACCGTTAGAGTAATTAAAATCGAATTTAAGTTGATTTTATAAAACTTCGCTAGAAAATCTACACACACAAAAACCCTAATCTTACACGTGACTGAATCCATCTTTGACATAAAGGATGAGACGTAAACAAACATGTCATGTAGGTGCTCCAAGATTGAAAAGTTCGAAAGTACGCTTGATTGAGCTGAATTTGGCGTTTATTATGACTCAATTTTATGCCAATATTGACGCTCGTATATGTCAGTCTCAGAGCACCCAAATTTGCATCAATTTTTCTAAGTGTGTAGATGGCCCTTATCAAAATGAAAACTTTTGCTCAAGACCTCAAGCCACGGAAATGATTCGATTCGGAGTTATTTTTAAAACCCGCTAGATTGCATTCCAGACCCACTGCACAGTAGTCAAATTTAAAGAAAAAAGTTTATGAAGATGAAGTTTAATCAATTTAGTGTCGTTAGATAAGTTTTTAGTTGAAAAAAGGCGAATGCTATCTGACAAGCCTGTGAATATTAAGGTTGTCCATTTTGTATCCATTTGTCTACAGATATTATATGAAGCATTAATTTATATTCACAGGTTTAACAGTAAGCATGTTATAGTCTTCTACAAATTTGGGTCATTTTATGTAATTATAAACTTCTCCAAACATACAATGTCTCAAAAAACTCAAATGGATGTGATAAAGGGTGTCCACAGTTAAATTGCATCACTTAAAAAAAGCTGTAACAGTTTGCCCATTGGGAGAATTTTTATGAAATTTTGGGCAAATATACTATACTATAATGAAGAACGAACTCCGTAAGCATCCTAAAGTTGTCACTACGGAGCAGGAAATGTTGAAATCATGGTTGAAAGCAGAACAGACGTCGATTCAACCATTGTACAAAACCTTATGGGTGGAATTAAGATGAATGTTCGAGCACTTGGATTGGGTGAAAAAAAAAATAAAGTGAAATAAAGATTCGTTATCCAAATTTATACATTGTTCTACATTCCATGAAAATTTCAAGACAATCGGTTGAGAGATTTTTTTTTGCGAGGACTTCTATGTGATTCAATTTAACTGTGGACACCTTTTACTGAAGAAATACCGATTTTAAAGCCATACACTGAAAATCTCAATATTTGATTAACTGCTCGGCAGTAATTAACAATTGTCACTTTTGTTTTTTAGCACCGAAATGTTCATCAAAATATGCAAAATCTCATCACGGTATTCTTTTATAAAAATATTCACCCCATTTTGAGATTTGACATATATAAAACATAACGGCGCCGGTGGTGTAGTGGTAAGCGTAATTACCTCTCACCCCAGCAGGCCTGGATTCAATCCCAGTCGGCGCCACCGGGATGTTCTGAGGCATAACATCTCTGATCACGCCTTCCTTCGGAAGGGAAGTAAAGCCGTTGGTCCCCGGTTCATGAGTTGATGGGTCGATAGGTAGGGTCCAGGTGTGGGAGCTGCCTTCCTGGCACGTGCGTCGGTAGCATTGGTGCTCAGCACGGAAAACAAGATCGACGGAAAAAACAAACCAAAGGAAAAAAAATATATATAAAACATCATGTTTTGAAGAAATTAACCCATGTATATTTTGTGGATTGATAGATAGTGTATTGCTGTTTTCTAAAATGTTGTCTTTTTGACAAATAGAAAAAAAAAAACTTTCCTGAGCCCGGTGGGTCGGTGTTCCAGTAATAGTGGTGTAGTGTTGCGGTATGGAGGTTGTGCCGGAATAATGAGGAGGACCCGGATAAGATTATTTTTCATCGGTAGCTGTCCTAAAATAAAGCATATTTGCATATTTCAAGGTAAAAATTAGCCCAAAAATTACGGAAAATCATTAATTTTCCTTAACTCCTCTGCACCTATAGTTGCGGTAGTGTTCGTATAATAGTGGAACCCATAAGAAACCTACGCATTCCACTATTATAGGAACCAAAGTTAGCAACTACCACAACTACTGGAACAGTGTTCCTATTAATGGAGGATGAGTTTTCTAAAATTGTATGCAATTTTATTACAGTGTAATATTTTTCTATCAAAATAGAGGTTGAAAGCTATAGATTGACGTAAAACAATTGTGTGTACATCGCATATTTATTGTTTAATTAATAAATTGGCTTAGTACCTCCACTACTGGCTCACCCACCCTATGTCTTGGAAAAATCACTCAAAGTTGAAGCTGAAAATTGATTTCCATAAATAATGCTCCATATCATATCATACATAATGCTTCATATCACAATGCTGGATATGCTGGAAAAATGTGTATTCAATAAAGTTTGTGGAAATGATAAGTTCAACAATTTTGTAGAATATTTTTTTATGAAAAATCGATAATCAATAAAGTTACAATTTTCAAGTGGCGTCCCAATGAGTATAATTTATAGACGACCCCTTCATCATCTGCATTATCTTACATGTAAAAACTCCTCTCAATACAACAAATTGATTGAACTTCATCTTCATCCACTTTTTATTTTGTCCTGGAATTTGCAGCATTCTTTAGCAAAAGTTCAGTACTTCTTTGTTTTGTGTACATTTAGGGAAAATCGGGTAAAACGGATACCTCAAGGATTGTTTTTGATTTTTCGTTAATAAATAATAAATTTTACCAGTATTCTGTGAGTTTAACTAAAGGATGCATCATATTATAAATCTTAATACTATTTAAAAAATATATCTTTAAACATTATAAATGGTCAAATAATTCACATCATTTTTTAAATACGGGACAAACGGACAGTTGCTATTGTAGTAAAAAAAAATTAATTAAAAATTGACTAGATACGAAATTTTTGTCTTCGGTAAAGTTTTTCGTATAGACAAAAACCTATTCTAGACTATTGATGAACAAAAGTGACTGTTATGAAACACAGCTTATGTTTGAGAAAACATTTTTAAATAAACAAAAGCTTAAAGTTAAGTTCTAGCGATCTCTGGGGAGAGAGTTCTAAATTATGATGCTAACCATATAATTGTTTTAGTTCATCTTAGAAACTTTGCCAAAAACAGAATCCTTCTATCCTTCTATCTCGAAACAACGTCAAGCAATAGTGAAAGCTGATGAGTAAATTCTGAGCGAAACTGTTTGCCATAGAATATGATTAAGATGTTAAGTTAGGGCGCTCAGTTCAAAATGAATGTCACACTAGAGCAACCTGGTGAGTTAATTTTGAACTAAACTCTTTACCTATAGACCTTGCCCATCTGAAAACCTTTACAACTAGTCCATATGTTAAGTAAGAGCAATCAATGAAACATTAATGTCCCACCAGCGCCACCTGGTGAGTGGATTCTGAACTAAACTCTTTACTATAAAATAGCGATCGCGCACGGTAGGACTCGATTTATTATGTTGTGATTTTATGATTAATACAGGTAATACGGTGTGAGTTTATTTATTGCATACAGGACTTGGTATCAATAACATTACAATCTGGACAAGTGACAGTAATATACATAATTGAAAGATGACATTTATTGGTTAGAATGTTAACTCTTCCATAATTCACTGTAAAGGCGGTAAATGTCGCTTGCACGAACGATGCATCTGAACAACTTTGCGAAGGCATGAACCTTGAATCTATTCAAGATGTTAAGTTATGGCAAAGAATTCAAAATGAATGTCACACTAGCCTGGTGAGTGAGTTCTGAACTAAACTCTGTTCCTTAAGATACGTCTTGTCCATCTGAATAACTTTTCTGGAGACGGGAACTATCAATGTGTATTAATGATGACGCAACTTGATTGTTTTTGTTTTAGCGACATCTAGTGAGTGAATTATGTCATACACTATGCATAGCTTTGAATACCTAGTATTCTAAAATATCTTTGCAGAAGAAAGCAACATCCTATATGGCTGGGGTCTCGTGATATAAACATCCCTAGCATCAAAATATGCCACTTCATGGGTATATTTAAACAATGACAGCCCCCTCCCCCCAGAGAGATCCGCCCCTAAGAGAATCTGATAGTTTAAACAGAAAGTACACTCGATTTAATTTGCGAATCATTTGAAATTTCCGAAATCCATTGTAATTTCGTTAAGATACGGCAATTTGAATTAGGGGTTAAATTTATCGCAGGGTACAGACAACGTGAGTATTTCAATAAAAAAATATCCAATAAATAGGTTTTATGTTATTTTTTTAAGATTTCATCTAATATTACAAAGCTCTGGTATACGCACCTATAAGTGAAAGAATTTGTTAAATCCATCAACAAATAAAAATGTTACAGCTTTCCAAAGCGACCTGGGGTCAAATTGACCCCAAGGTACAAACAAAGGGTTAAATATCGTCAATTAAGAGTGGGTGTGACCAAACCCCAATTATTCAATATTTGAGTATTCAAAAAAAATCAGGTGCCTGTATTACCTCACTGTGGGTCATACCCAGAATACCCCCGCATTTGAAATGAGATTTAAAAGTTACCATTGTTACAATTTTCGATTTCTTTTACAGTGTGTATTTTTTGCAGGAATGTAAAGCCAGTTCCCAACAGCTATATCTCAGGCGTCATTTCGAGTAAATGAGCCGTTTTCGAGCTATGGCTTATTGAAAAATGTAGAAAACGCCATTTTGAAAAATTAGGTGTGTTTCAAAATGGCCAAATACCAACAATTGGTTTATTGCACCTAGCGAACGATTATGCAAAGTTTCAATGAATTCTGAGAGGGGAGAAGTTTGATCGAATCGTCAGCTGGCGTGGATTTGCTCAGTTATTGTAGAACCATTAGGATAGATGTACCAGTTATGGCTATACGTTTCTATTATGGTGTGTTCCAATTATGGGATAGGAGAATCCCATAAGCCAGAATTGGATCACACCATAATACCCAACCAACATTTTCAAGTTTTATTAAGGTTTTAAAGCACTCTACAAGTAAAATTGATGGTCTTCAGAACCGTCATAAAACCATAAATGTTACTTGGGTAGGAACGTATAGCCATAACTGGTACACCTACATACAGTCGCTAGCATATCAAGTTGTAGAGAGTTCATTGCATCGGTATACTAATACCACAGACAAACAGACGTAACTCTTCATTGTGTAGCTTCGTTCATGCATTTAACGGTTGATTTGAATATTATCAGTTCCGCGAACTACTCGCCGCAGCGCTGGCATCAGATCACTTTGACGCTTCTATACATTCTATAGAACTTTTATGCAATATTGTTTACGAGTTAGCGAGCAAGCTTGTTTTCCGCGAGAAGCCAGAGAGATGTCGTTGCTGAGGTTATATGTTTTGAGATACTATGTTTTCAAGAACAAGTTTTTCAAAGAGTTACGTCTATTTGTTTGTGATAATACCTAAGAAGAGCATCAGAAGATGCTGAACGATATTTAAAACTATTTTCGGCAATCCTGACCATCCAAAGGGCTTTCCTGGAGCATCGTGTGCAGAATAGGAGATGAGAGAGTTTACCTGTGGCCACAGTTTATACAGATTAAACATAATATATGCATAATTTTCAACGCAAGGGGAGGGGTTTGACACTTCTTATGTGCACAGTTAGTTATGTTTTTACCATATCGGCAATTTGTTGCCGGGATTTGCACAGCCAATTGCTTGGCAATAAGTTTTTATGAGAGATGCCGTATGTTTGCTGAAATTCAGCGATAGGGTAGAGAACTACTTCGGCCTAATCGCCCATTTTGGGCCTATCGAGCAGAAAACTTCAAATAAATCCATGATTTCAGAGTTACCAAGTCAATTATGCGTTTGGTACGATACTTTAGCTAATAAGCTACGGAACGAAGTCAATGAGAATGCGTGATATGAAGGCTTGCACCCATTTTTTCCGAAAAACAAAAGAAGTGCTCCGACCGAATCAATTTTTATCTTCATCCGATAGGCCGAAGTAAATTCATTGGCGTTTCAATGGCGTTTCAATGCGTTAGGCCAAGTTTTGAATCCGTAGGCCGAGTTTGGCGTCAAGAAGCAGTGTTAGATTTTTGACAATATCTCAACGATGGGATTCTCTTTATCAAATATTCCGGTACATACGGAAGGCCATCAGTAAAAATAACATTCCGTTTGGTGCTAAACTGCGCTAGATTAAGAATGATTAAGTGCGTGTTGTGCTTAATAGGCCGGAAATGGGGTATTTAACCCTACATTTTCGGAGACTTAGCAACCAAACGTCTTTTTCGCTAGGATCTCAATAAAATTTGTTTGCCGGCTTTGCTATGCAAATCTCGGTGAAAATATCTGAGATTCTCTAAACAAAATTATGTGTTGGAACTGTTTTGTCAGGAAATTAAGGACAAAAATGGTATAACGCTCAAAAGGCCATTATCATGGCTGAGTTTACAAGCAAATCAGCCATTATAACGACCATTTGTGGATTCTACCAACCTTGTTCTTAAATAAAGGTACCTATACCATGCGTCTCCATAAAACATATTCAACAACAAGTTGACGCATGTTCCTCCCGTAGTAAAACGCGTTGATGACAGAAGTTCACTTTAAACATGTTCAATTTTGGTAATAGCATTCCGCATAATTGCCTATCCCAAGCAATAATTACCTGCCTGCCAATTGTTGTGGTTAGAGCACGTTCTGCAACAGCCTAATTCATCATGAATTAATCGCTATTTAGTTGATCACAAATGGAAGTGTCGCGTGGTGTGACGTACACGTGGCCCACTAATGGCCTGAATTGTTGATTCTAATGAGGGGCTGTTCATAAACTACGTAGTAATTTTTATGAGTGGATTTTTATGAATATTTGTATGGACAATTGACACTTGCCTACTTCCACCCCCTAAGGTGCCTACGTGGTTTGTGAACAGCCCCTAAAGTGGAACGACGATGACGGTTAGAGCACAGCAGAAGAGGGCTGTCGACAGTGGCGATATAATTCAGTTCTTTGTGTAATGTAATTGCTGTCCCAATCCTTGGTAAACACGATTTTCTCTGCCTATGGTCAATGGAAAAGAGTTTCTTTGTTTTAACTTACCTACAAGCTACAAGTGCACAGGTGGAAACACTTTGGTTTCGTTTTATTGGCGGTGGTGGTAGGTGCGACAGCCGTGTTACAGGATAATTCGACACAGTGGCGACGGTTGGCTCTAGGAGAAAGCGCACGGTTGACCCGACCGTCGGTAGGTGGTTCTGTTATGATATGCAAATGTGGCTCGTGCACGACTGTTGATATTTAGCATGCTAGACTGGCGGTATGAAAGGGGTCGCTATATTATTTTTATAATTATAATTCACTGGAATCGTGAATGGAAAATCTGGCAGTGGCTTTCACCAATACTGTTGGGTCCGAAAGCGACTGAACATACTCACTACAGCTGACAACTCTAGCAGCTAATTAAAATTCAAACTATTTGGTACACAAATTTGCTATGAATGGCAAACATTGCTTGTCTGTAGAGTAAAAATCCCGGGAACATTTTCCATTTAGTGCAAGTAGTAGTAGTGTAAAAATACTAAGAACACATTAACTTAGTTGATTGATTTAACCAAAAGATACAGGTTATTTTATCGATTCTCCTGAATGTGCTTAAAAGAACAATCAGTTCAAAAGCGATGTAGTCAGCCACTTTTCATAGCCATAATTACTTATACATGAAACACAACCAATTTCCATTGCAGGTAAACGTACTCAGGAAATCATCTGTGTCTACATCTGCATCGCGCTAATTGTTATCAATCTGTTCCTCATCCTCAAACACTTCCGCATCGAACGGATAAGCAAAGTGCTGGTGGCTGCTATGTTCGGTATTCTGACAGCCGATTTCGGGTCCGGCCTAGTACACTGGGGAGCAGACACATGGGGCTCGGTCGAGCTTCCAATAGTGGGGAAGGTAAGTGCCATCGCCATCATTCCGGTATTTGCGCGTTTAATTAAAATTCAATCTTCATCTTATTCGGCAGAATTTTTTACGACCTTTCCGGGAGCATCACATCGATCCGACCTCAATCACTCGACACGATTTCATCGAAACCAACGGGGACAACTTCATGGTGGCCGTGCCCATTCTGGCCAAGCTTGCGTGGAATTTTTTCACCCGATCGAACTCGGAAATACAGCAGGAGTACGCACTGAGCGCGTATCTGTTTCTGTGTTCAATCTTCATCGCTATGACTAATCAGGTAAGGGAGGCTGAAATGTATAATACAGTAATGTCCCGATTTTGTCAGCCATGTATTTGAAAATCTTTTCTAATGTTCTACAAAGCACATGCGCTTTTTAGGTGGACTTATAGAATCAAAGGATACCTTTAACATCCAACATGAAGATGAATGAGAAAGATTTGGAATTACGGCTATGTAAAATTATTGAAAGATAAAAGTTTAATGCGCGGAGCGGCTGACAAAATCGGGTCATTGCTGAGAATGTTATATCCAGCTCCCATGATCTGCACTCTTATTTAAAAGGGGTGTTTAGGGGGTAATTGGGGTTCAATTTCGCCAAGAATATGTTTAGACGTTTTAAAACTTTAAATTTTTAGTTACTCGAAGTTAAACACACTTGACGGAATGTGAATTAAAAACATGAATTATTTATCCAAGGGATCTGACTCTGCTTACTAATTTGAATTCCGACACTCGGAACATGCGCTCTACTTTGATATGATTATAGTATACGTCAGATTCTGGTCACTTTTCCGGTCATACCAGGAGCATGTATAGCCAATGCACAGTGGTCCAGAATGCAGATTTAGCTGAAAGGATAAGTTTTGAGACTGCAATTGAAATTTTAGAAAAAAAAAAGTTTTTTCAATGTGTTTCCATTATTGTTGAGTGTGCAACAGGAGCTAATCTAAATGATGTGAAAAATGGTATTGAAAGCAATCTGGGTGAAAAATATAGTACTGTTGTTCCCACTTCGGTGCCAAGATTGAAATTAGTGGGCATGAGCGATCAGTATTCCTCCGATGTCTTCATTGACTACTTAAAAAGGCAAAATGAAGACATCGCTATAAATGATGTAAAAGTAGTGAACATGTTTGAAAATCCACGCTTCACGTATAACAAGTTTAGTGTTGTAATTGAAGTCGATAGTTCCCGCGATTAATGTGTTGAGATGCTTCAAATGTGGAAAATTTAGGCACAAGAGCATGGATTGCAAAAATTGTGATAGATGCTCTAGGCCAACAACACAAAACGTCGGAGTGTACGTCAACTGTATTGAAATGTATTAATTGTTTGAAAATGAATAAAGAACGTAAAATGAACTTGGACGTCAACCATGCTGCATTTAGCTCGGAATGTTTGCTCTATAAAAGACTTTTTGATCAGAAGAAAAGCAGCTTGCGTTTCAACAAATAGCAGCCAAGTTCCAGGAATGTGAATCAATTCGATTTTTTGTATTTTAATATTGCGGAGTTGTCAATTAACTACGTAGCATTGCGTCAGATTTTTGAGGAAAAATGTCCTCTTTTAGTTTTATTATCTGAAACTCATATTGTAGAAACTGAAGATTTTGATCAATATAGTATTCCGGGATATAGTGTTGCTGCTTGTTTATCACATTCTAGACACACTGGCGGTGCTACTATTTATGTCAAAGAATCAGTTAATTCAACCTTCGTACCAACGAAGTTATTGATGGCAACTGGTTCTGGGCTTTACAGTTGTACGTGGCATGAAGATGGGTAATTATGGTGTTTTGTATCATTCTCCCAGTTCTAGCTCGAGACATTCCTTGATTCTAGTAAATTAAATATATTAGCTGGTGATTTTAATTTCAATTGGCGTGACAACCATAATTCGAATCATTTGAAGCGTTTAGCTGAGTTTTTCAATTTAAAGCAAACGGTAAATCAATATACGCGTATTTCCAGGAACAGCAGAACTTTAATTGACCAAGTTTATTCCAATTTTGATTCCATTTGTTCAGTTACGGATACTGATTTGAAAATAACCGATCATTAGACCTTAGTGATTAATGTCTTAGACCATGTTAACGATAGTGATAAAAAAATTGAAGTGCTGGAGGAAATATTCGAAACAGGCTGTTTCGAATCTTGTTGAGAGGAGCGTGGATTATCCATTCGCGGCCAGTAATTTAGATGAATCTACAGCTGTTCTTAATAACGCTTTGAAAACGTGTACCAATCAACTAGTTGAGCAAAAGTTTGTTTCTTTGAAAAACTCGAACAGCTGGTACAATTTGAAACTTATGCGTCTTAAACCTTTGGTTTGTTTTTTCCGTCGATCTTGTTTTCCTTGCTGAGCACCAATGCTACCGACGTGCCAGGAAGGCAGCTCCCACACCTGGACCCTACCTATTGACCCATCAACTCATGAACCGGGGACCAACGGCTTTACTTCCCATCCGAAGGAAGGCGTGATCAGAGATGTTATGCCTCAGAACATCTCGGCGGCGCCGACTGGGATTGAATCCAGGCCTGCTGGGGTGAGAGGTAATCACGCTTACCACTACACCACCGGCGCCGTTGTCGCGTCTTAAACAGAAAAGGGACAAATGGTACAAAAAGTTTTGTAGATCAAATAATGACAATCACTGGAATAGGTACACAATCGCGCGTAATAAGTATTCAAAATCGATAAAGAAAACTCGTTGTGAATATGTTCAAAGGAAGATTGATCAACATCAAAACAACAGCAAAGAGTTATGGAAAATGTTGAAATCTTTATTAAAACCTAGTAATTGCAAACCGCGGTCCATAACTTTTAATTGCACATTAGAACAGTCAGAACAAGTAATTGTAGCTAAGTTTAATGATTATTTTGTAGACAGTGTTTCATTGACTAATCAATCCATTGAATTGGTCGATGAACCTGACGAAATAAAACAGCCAGGTAATAGTAGTTGTAGATTTGAAGTTTTTCACCCAATTACATTAGATGAACTTAGAGTTATTTGTTTTTCATTAGGAAAATCCGCTGGAGTAGATAATGTTAATGCTAGAGTTATTCAAGATTGCTTTCATGTCATTGGCCACTTCTTGCTGGACCTTATTAATGAATCATTGCAAACTGGACATGTGCCACAAATTTGGAAGGACTCCACATTCAAAAAGTTGCTGGAACGATTAAAGCCGAAGAGTCTCGTCCTATCAACATGTTGCACACATTAGATAAAATTTTAGAACTTGTTGTTAAAGGCCAGCTGTTGGAGTATTTAAATAGTAATAGTTTGTTGATACCAGAACAATCGGGATATCGGGAAGGTCATTCTTGTGAAACCGCGTTGAATTTAGTATTAGCGAAGTGGAAAAATAACTTGGAGTGTAGATATACGATTGTTGCTGTTTTATTGGATCTGAAACGCGCTTTTGAAACAATTTCTAGGCCCTAATTGTTAAGATCAATCAAGCGCTTTGGAATTACGAGTACTGCATATAAATGGTTTGAGAGCTATTTGTCTGACAGAACTCAACGGACTGTTTTTAATGATTCTGTTTCCAGTCCCGTGGGGAATAACCTTGGAGTACCCCAGGGAAGTGTATTAGGGCCCCTTTTATTTATTATGTATATTAATGACTTGCGACGTGTTTTACGATTTTGCGACATTAATCTTTTTGCAGATGATACTGTGTTATTTATTGCAGCTAAGGATTTAGATGATGCCGTTTTACACTTTACACTTGAATGAAGATTTGCGTTCTCTAAGTAGATGGTTGAAGTATAAGCAGTTAAAATTGAATACAAGTAAATCTAAATTTATGGTAATTTCGCGGAATCGAGTAAATGAGAACGTCTCTGTTGTAATTGATGATGAGACTATTGATCGCGTTCGGGAGATTAAATATCTTGGCGTGATTATTGATGACACACTTAAGTTCAACTCTCACATTGACAATATCATCCAGAAAATTGCCAAGAAGTATGGAATTCTATGTCGACTTAACAACGAGTTAACTATTGCCAGTAAAATACAGCTATACAAATCGATCATCTTTCCTCATCTTGACTTTTGCCCTTCCATTTTATTTCTGGCCAATGCAACACAAATATCGACATTACAGCGCTTGCAGAGTAAAATAATGCGTTTGATTTTGAGATGTAATAGATTCACTTCCTCAACTTTGATGTTAGACGCCTAACAATGGTTGTCGGTGAAGCATAGAATTGTATATTTGACTTTGGTGTTCATTTTTAAAGTAGTTAACGGTTTGCTGCCTCGATATTTGTGTGATCGAATTGAAAGAGGAAGTGACTTTCATAGATATAATATTAGAAACGCGGCTGAAATAAGATCACCACATTTATTAACTTGTGCTTCACAAAATTCATTATATTATAGAGGAATAAATGTTTTCAATTCGATGCCTAGATATATAAAAAGTTCAGCAACACTTACAGAATTTAAAAGACACTGCATTTCACACATTAAACCTGTCTTTTGAACAGTTTTACAGTGATTTTTGTTTTTTATGAATTGACAATTTATGTATCTTGACGAAATTATCTCTAACGGATTATTTTATATGGATAGCTGTCATAACGACTTTTTAATAATTATTATAGCACTGCAAAAACTATTTCTGTTCGCCATGATGGTGATGATGGATTTTTAATATTTGATTTAATAGTAGATTAATTAAAAAAAAAGTAGTCTACATAGGTTTGAGACTCTCGCACATATTAAAAAAACAATGCAATTTTGAAGCTTATTTGGAAGATACCTTGACATAGTAGTAGGTTTTCTGGCAAATGTTGGGGTTTCGTGAGCATTGCTGAAAACTATGATAGCATCAGATTGCGGGGTTGCTAGTGTAATAGGATGTTTTGTTGATTGTTCATTAACTCTTGATCGCTTGTAATACTTATGAATATTTTAGGTGGACAAAAAGGCGAACTAAGAGGTGAACGCCTGAGCTTTTCCACATTTGTATCGCTGTGAAGCAACTGTAAACTCTAGAAGGAATTTATATCAGTAATTGTAACAGGTTCGACTTTGTTTGCAAACCTGTTTAAATTGTCATCTATAATTATTTTAACGATTAATCGTCCAGCTCAAACCTTTGTAGGGGTAAGAGGTGGAACCATCATCATTCAACAAAGTTGTTCCTTATAGTTAGGCCTTTATTTTTATGGCATTGAATTCTAAAGGGGTTCTTAATATCATTGAAATCAAAAATCTAACTTTTTTGTTTGAATAAATTGAAGATTCTTCGGCAAAGTTATAGCTGACCTAATTTAAAGCAACATTGTTAAAAAAAACCTTTTTCGTATCTCATGAATTGACCGATCTATTTTCCGAAATTGAGCTAGGGTGTCTCTAAAAAAAAAAAACAGTTTTTTTTTATCAAGTTTTCTCATTTCAAATTTCTCGGTAAAGATGTCGTGGAATAACATTTAAATCTTTTGAAGGCGCAAATTTTTGCTGCTTAGAGCTTGTCGATATCTTTCGACAATCAATAGTTATTGAAGTTTTTCTACTAAAATATGCCCTTTTGAAATGTTAATATCTCTGGTTAGGGCAAACAAACAAAAAAGTTTTTTTACAGCATTTTCTAGGGCGTATGTTATTCTCAATAATTTGAAAAAATAGAGGTCTTCATTTTTTTAAACTTGTATAAAATCAATTTTAATTTTTTTTTTCAATTTTTTTACTATAATTGGGGATATCTTTTTTATTAGAAGAGATACAGACGACAACTTTGGTTTTTAAACATTTATCTAAAAGAGTTTAAGTCTCTAGAGGATGATTTTTATGAGAAATTTGAAAATTCATTTTTTAGAGGCGCCCTAGCTCAATTCAAGAAAATAGCTCTAAATCGGTCAATCTAAGAGATAAAAAAAAAAAGTTTTTTTTTAACAAACTTGATTGAAATTAGGTCAGCTATAACTTTGTCGAAGAATACCTTAATTTCTTCAAATAAAAAGTTAGATTTTCGGTTTCAATGATAATAAGAACCACTCTAGAATTAATTGTCTTAAAAATGAGACTTTTAGTCTAAAGTTTCAATTTCAGGTTCAAAACATATCCTTCCAGCTTAATCTGCATACTGGACCACTGTGCAATGTTACACTGGGTACTCAATGTTTTTGTTACTGAACTTTCATGCGGTTAGATACGTCGCAAGATATGGTTTGCCTATTTTCAAATTGTGATCTCTTCCTGAGGGTTTCCCGAGACACGGCCAGTTATGGCCAATGTTGTTCCTAATACGAAATATAATCTCCGGACATGTTTAATTTAAATTCTCATGTGATTTGATGAGCCGTCTGAAGGGTTTTGGTCATGTCAGATTTTGGCTTCCATGCAGGTACCCTGAAAATACCCGGCTGTAATCAACGTAGGTCTGGGAACTTAATTAGTTACCTCAATCGCATGTCGGATTTTTGCCCACTTTAGTTTTACTCGTTGCTCATGAGATCAAACCCATCATGACCCTTGTCAGATACTGACCACTTTGACGGGAGATCTGCGTGGATGTCCTGCTATTTGTTTTCATCTGGCTTGATTTGATTTTTCTAAAAATATTGGAAAAAAACATATCAAAAATCCAATAAAATCAGTTTTTCTTAGATTCCTGCAAAAAAATACGGAGGAACATATTTTTTATCGCATCATTAAAAAAGTCTGGACTTAGAATAAAACCAAAAGAACACTTTATGCGGTTTTGTAGTCCAAATCAAAACGTATTTTTTTTCTCAGCACTAAGCTTCCTTTTAAGGATAAAACTTTCCATATGTTTGATATTTATAAATTTTCATAGAGATTTACAGCATTTGTATTGCAAAAGCACTGTTAAAATTTGGATTGCCTCTCATCCCAAAAGGCTTGTGTTCAAATCCCAGTCAGCACCGCCGGGATTTTCTGAGGTACAAAATCTCTGATCACGCCTTCATTGGAAAGGGAAGAAAAGCCGTTGGTCCCAGGTCCATGAGTTGATGGGTTGATAGGTAGGGTCCAGGTGTGGGAGTTGCTTCCTTGGCGTCGGTAGCGTTGGTACTGAGTACGGAAAACAAGATCGACGGAACAAACAAATCAAGGAAATAAAGCACTGCAAAAATTCAAAATTTATGAACAGCTGTTAGACAAGGTCGAAGGACAAAAAAATTAACGAGCAAATTTGGATACGACAAAAGCATTAGAAAATAAAAGGTTAAACAAGCAAGGCACAAACTCGTTGCCTAGTAATCGGAGCTCACTTAGCAGATCTGAATCGGAGCTTATTCAGACAACAACTTGCTTCTTCAGCTAAAATATGGCTTACTCAGTTTTTGGGGAAGGCTCTTTTTATGCGTTTATAAATAGGTCCTGCAAATCTGTGATGTTCATTTGGGATGCGGATATTTTGAAAACCATGGTAATTACATTATATTTCCAACGAATGATATTCAATTTTACAATTCCAGATTCACAAATGGTCCCACACCTACTGGGGCCTACCGAAGTGGGTACTGTTTCTGCAGAACAATCACATCATTCTGCCGCGGAGACACCATCGCATTCATCACGTGGCGCCGCATGAAACATACTTTTGCATCACCACTGGATGGCTCAACTGGCCCCTGGAGAAGATCAAGTGCGTTCGTCTAATTGCAGAGCTGTTTGTTATCCAACAATGGTTGTTCATTTAGTAAAATTTTCATCCCTTTTTCAGATTCTGGTCAACGCTGGAAGCCATCATCGAGGTTTGCACTGGTCACAAACCACGGGATGACGATATGAAATGGGCACAGAAGCGAACATGATCGTATACGAGCTCACAGCAACCACGCTTCATCATCAGATTCCTAGTAGCCATCTGTGTTCGTTAGGAACGCTGCTCATGTTCACGTACGCTGTGCTGATTTTTACTACTTTGTTCATTCATCATCATACCACGCGTCCAGTAGAATATTCGCCATGATGCAGATTTTATACAAAAGACAGCTAACAAAAGGATGATTACAATTCGAGTGATGCTGAAACAACGATATTTTGATGAATTTTACCTGTAGGATCTAAATGAAATCATAATAGGGCAAACGAGATCGTTGTTGAGTTGGGCAGGTTTAGGAAATGTTAATCAACTCAAAGCGCATTATACTAGCTTTACATAAAATGGTACTTAAAGTAATGCGAAGGAAGGCTCATATTATACATGATGGGCACTAAGAGCAGCGCTTATCAAATGAATGTAAGAGAACGAAAGCTTACTTATGCCTTATGGAAGAAAACTCACGGATCTAGAAATGAACACAAATGATAGAAAGGATGTACAGAAATGTGCACAAACTAGTACATGCATTCTAATTTATAACTCATTGTTTACACCAAATCCATTGCCATATGTGTATGGTAGAAGAGTGAAGCAGCTTAGCACATTCCTATTGGGCTGTATGATAGGTAAATGCAGTGGGAAATGAGTTTGTAGAATATTAATATTTCAGGCGAAAACTCACACTTACGGAAGCTTTCATTTTATAAGGAATCTTGTCGTTCGGAAGGGAAAAACTTCGTTGCTTAGAAGCAAGAGTTGAGAGGATTAATGAATAATTGAAGTTTTCCTGAATGACACAAGTCATGAGTTCTTTTTAGTTACCGATTGATGGCAGAAGTGCAACTGGAAACATACCACTTGGCAGGCAAACAAGTTGTGGGTGCCCTACCATGTGGACATCGTAAGAAGCTTGCATAGTTCAAGTGGTGTGGTCAGTTGTTGCACATTTTCCTAGAAATATAGGATGCGATTGTTGCATGTGGAAAACTTATTCGTTATTCGTTAGTTTGTTGGAAACAGTGCTCGATGTAGGTAAAACAAGTCTGAAAAATTAATTGAGCTCGAACAAGCAAACACAAAATATCTATCTGTTGCCAATCAAAGCATTCCAGAGCAAGAAGAAGAGCTGTATACGATTGTTTCAGCTTCCCTGTCTTTGACCTAGCCATTTAAAAATTCGGAGAAAATTAATATTAAATACTTTTTACCACAAAGAGGCTGCTGTCAGTTCAACATACTTGTTTATAAACTTTGGGGAGGGCTTAGGTGGCCCCTTTCATATCCTCAACTGCATCGGTAACTCTTCATATAATCAATGAAACAATACATATTGAAACGCAAGCATGGTAGATTTATGCAACAGTGTCTGGTGAAAACTGCTCTGATCAATAGGTTTATGTTAAGCTTGCATACCGAGAAGGGGTTGATAGGGTTAATGTTCATAATGTCGGCCTAGGTGACTCTAATATTGGGCCCATACATACATTGCAGACGAAAGCATTTTTGCCAATTTTTCAGTAACATCCAAAAATATCCATTTGATGACGGATTTTTCTAAGAAAAGTTGAAGAACAGGAGATTTTTATCGATGGGCCCAATCTTTAGATATATGCCAACATTAGAGTTATTTCCCTTTTATATTGGCAAACGATCATTCGTGTTTCTCTCCTGTCATAGTCATTGTTGGTGGAGAGAGTATTTTAAGCAAAGCAAACCGATTACATTTTAAACTATTTTATTTTTTCATTCTGTGTGTGAAATATTGGTACCTTCTCATTGTGACCACCACAATTTCAAAGCCCTTGAATAATTGAATCGATTCCTGATTTCTATGGAATCTTATGTTAGCGAGGATTTCCCACAGCATGTAGAATGAATGGTCATAATGACCGTTGTTTAATGATGACGGATTAATTTAATTTAGTGGATAATAAATTCTTTATTGTTAATAATAAGTTTTAAGAATAATAATATCATTTGATAGATAACGGTAAACCAGTACAAGAGCTTAGGAATGAAAGTAACACGTTTTGTTTAATACGGTAATATGGGAGGCATTTTTTTTATCTTACTCTAGGGACCTTTCTCTTCATAATTGCAGTTCTACATTGAAGATCTGAAAATAGATTAAATTTAATTACAAAAAGGCAGCTTATCTTTCTAGACCATAATGGCGGGCTATTGAAACACCATAATACACAAGAAACACCACTCAAAATGCAGTGTTTACATGCAGCAGTAGCGTAATTTAAAGGCAACACCATTAAAATGCACAACAATGAGGATATACACGTGGCCGTTTTACAATAGCAAAATCGTACAATCAATATCAAAGAGAATCGTAAACCATATTCTACACATTTTTTCCATATTTTCACATGACTTGCTTGAGCATGAAATACAAGATATCTGATAAAACGAAAGAACCAACTCAAATTAGAAACTATATTTTTATTAGGTCTTATTTTGTTATCTGAACAATAGCTTTATCAAGGAACAGCGTTGATGATTTTGTACTGCAACCATTCAAGAGCTGAAAATGAAATATATATACATATTTACTCCACTTTTGCAACTTTACATGAGAGATCAACGAATGTGCTTAGGAATGGGAATGGATGATATTTTGGGCAGAACATAGCTTTTGATAACACGAGTATCGCAATGGATGAAAATAAACAGCTAACTTCGTTAAGCTACACGACGATAGGCGTTTTAAAGTGATTTTTTAAATTTTGATGATGACAATATCCATTACAAATGTTCATGTATCTGTTTAACATTGAATACAAAATTTAAATTTTTTATGAACCTGCATCAGACGAGATATTGTGGATTCAATAATTTGATCCATTCGATTCAAAGTTACCTCTCGTGGCGAACATAAGAACTATCAAAATGATGCTGTTTTCAAAAGTTTACACGCTATAACAGAGAGAAGTTTTAAAATGCATTTAGACTTCAGTGACTGACATACTTTTCCTGTAGTAGGCCACAGCACTGCACCTATGTGAGGAACATTGCACTGTGGTCCAGGAAGCAAAATTAGGTGGAATAAATTAATAACTCGAAAAATATTAGAGATAGCGTATTGACGTCTTCTGAACATTTTCTTGTGAGCTTTATTCGCATTGGTTGCAAAAGTGTCCTAAACGCCAAATTCTACCAGCAACGTAATTTGGCCTCTAACTTTTTTATTTCAATAGATAGAGAAACTAAATATTGTACAAAGTTGTGAATTATAAAAAATTAGAAAACTTTCTTGAACATCGTTTTTGTTTATCTCTTCTATATTTGGAGATATAAGCCATTTAAAAAAACAAAAGCCAAAAATCAGTTTTTCTGTCATATTTTTTTTTAAATATCACTTTTTCGGCCTACTATGTTCAGAACGATTATAGTTAATTTTAAAATACATATTTGCTCCAAAGACACTATACCAGTACAAGTCTCCTGTCAAAAGTTATCGTCAGTTTTGTAGTCTTTTAGCTCAAATTTTCAAGCGTAATATTTCAAAATGGCGCAAGTACAACCGATAGTGATACATATCACTTTAAAAAGCATATCAAGAAGTACATTTTAGCAACTTTTGGTGAAGGTAATTTTTGATTTTTTTAAATAAATGCACTTTGAAAATAGGGGTTTTATTCCATAAATCTTCATTGTTCGAACTTCTTTCGAGTATCAAAGAACCAGATCGATGATACACTATTTTGTGAATACATTTATATAATATATAGCATATAATCTTCAAAATAGCATAAGAAATGGAACCCAAGCAAGACTGCTAATGCCCTTAACATAAACAAGAATATTATTTATAGGTATGCGTATTTCATACACAAACAGACGAATTTGAAAATTTTAATCAATCATTCACTGCGGTATGAGTTAAAGCAAGCGTTGATTTTTGAGACACTGAATTGTTCATTTCAAAACGTTGCAAAATGAGAAAAGGTATTTTTTTTTCAAGTGCTTTCATTATATTAACTCAGATTTTATTTATCAGCGATTCGTTTGGCCGATCTTACCCTTCTTCTCATGAACGGAGATAAGGTAAAAGATTTATTGGAATTTGTAAAGAAAAAGTTTTCTGGAGAAGAGCTGGACGTAAGTTTGGTGCAAAGGAAGCTTACCCTGGTGATGCTGAAGTTTCAGAAACTTTGGCGAGCAGCTGGAAGGAAACGTGAACGATTTTTGAAGATAATGACGCTTGGCTTGGAGGAGAATTTATTGTCGATGTCCTTTCGCCCTCAAAATCATTCGTTGGTCGTCCTTCTAAGCCGTTCAAAGATGCACACAGAAAATCAAAGAAAAGCAGGGTTCAATCTCTTCTTAATCAATTTTCGGCAGAAGAAATTTCGTTTGCTGCAGAAACATCTGTAGCCTCCGCAGGGTTTCGTAAAGCCGGCAAATTGATAGGAAAAATAGCACAAAACCCCGAGACGGCAATCGAGCTACAGCGTTCAGCAGATCGATCAAAACACGGATTCGAAGCTCTTACAGCAGAGGAAGCTCTTGCATTCTTATGCAAAAACGAGTTTTCAAAGGCTCAGTACATGAACATCCGGGCATCCGGCAGATGAATATAAGCAAGGGCGTGGACATGTACCCAGCTTATAACAAATTGGTTGAAGCTAAAGAAACTATGCTATCCTTCAGGTATGTTAAACATAGAGTCAATAATATTGAATAATACCTATATAATGATATATTAGGTCTCTCTATCCATTCATCTGTTGCTGAAGTGCCTTTACAGGAACTTGTGGAGCACACCACGAAACGGCTTTTTGCAAGCGTGATGAGCAGAGCGACGTCCCAAAAGGTGGTACCATACGACGATTATACACTTATCTACAAATGGGGTTTTGATGGGAGCAGCAACCATGCTAGATATAAACAATGTTTTTTCGAGGAGGACGAGGATGAAGAGTTACAGGAATACAGCGATTCCCATATATTCGCGTTTTCATTAGTTCCTTTAAGGTTAACTGGACATCGTGAAGCAGAAGAAACCTAAGAAATTGTTTGGAATAATGATCTGCCATCGTCAATTTCGCTTTGCAGACCGATAAAATTGATATTTGCAAAAGAGTCAACCGAGTTGACAAAACGGGAGGTTTCGCTTATGAATACGCAAATACAAAAT